CTCGGATTGTTCAGTAGACGCTACAGGTGGCTACGTGGAGACCTATTAGTCTACCAGATACGGAACGACCCCACATACACATGTTGCCACCTACTGCAACTCATCCCAAACACCAACTTCACAGGCAGTAGCCTGAAACTGAGTCAACAACCCAGTCGACTTTTCGTTAAGGCTGGACGAACATTAGTTCATAGCGACTCAGTGATTCCGATATAACTAGCCTTCGAACGTTTATGTGCCTACGCTGTTTATGTGCTCAACGACAGCCTGGACGTCAAGGATTCTGTCCGACCTTACGCATCATTAGCACCATTTGCCAGCGGACCAGTTTAGTCGTTAACACATTTGTGAAAGAGGATAAGTATATTAATAGCAATGTATTGGAACGATCATCTGTGATAGTGTAGGATATGTTCAAAACGTTCGCCGGCATTCTGCTTGCAGTGCAGAAATCGTTTGATGTAATTGGCGAGCGCTTCCTCCAATTTATCCCTTGTGATCGCGCGACATTTGTTCACAATATTTTCTTTCAATTGGTCAAATATACGCGGCTTTGTTTTTTACACTCGCCGCTTCAGATAACCACATCGAAAAAAATCCATGAGGTTCAAATCTGGTGAGCGAGCAGGCCACTCCATTGGTCAACTGCGTCCAATCCAATAGTGGCCAAATTTGTCGATTAGGTAAGCACCCACCGTTTTAGCAGAATGTGCACGTGAACCATCCTGCTCCCACCAAATGGTACTGCATGCCCCTTCGGCCTCCAACTGAGGAAGCGCAAATGTCTGCAGCATTTCCAACTACGACGATGCTAGGAAATGATAAGGCTTCAGTACTTCAAAACAACAACCTGCCGCCCACATTCCCGGAAAAGAAATATGGGCGCAAGATTTTCTGGCTTGTTAATCCGTCCCAAACCATCAGTTTCACACTGTGGTGCATACGTGATGCGGTAAATTTTCGTGGGTTGCTGGTAGCCTAAGAGAAATGTTTCATTGTTCCATGCAGATGAAACAATACCTCATCTGTAATGTTAACAGAACGAATATCTCCGTGATCCAGAAACCAGCGCAAACTTCATGCCGCTTCTCCGGATCATATGGATTCAGAACCTGCACTTGAAGTGCACGGAATCCCCGAAATTTTCCTTCCAGTAATATCCGGTGTACCGCATATCGGTTCGTGTCACAGTGCTGTGCGACCCGACGCATGCTGAAATCGGGACATTTTGACACCTCACTGACTACAGCGCAAGCTGAACAGTCATCCGTGGTGATGCGAGGCGGTCCGGTTCTCTTCATGTCACACACTCCCAGTTTGCTCGAACTCCTCACCAGTTTAAGCACGTACCGGGCGGTGATGGGACGCATTCCTGCGTTCATTGTATTGTATTTTCTTGAAGCTGATGCGGCGTTTAAACCGCATTCAGCGTACAGCCGAATTATCAGCGCGCGCTGAGTAACAGGCACGTTACTTGATCCCGACTGCATTGTCTGCTCCTGCTCCACTACCTGTGATTCAATAACATTGCCAAGAGTTGCAATACCTTAGCTCGTCCTCAACTGAGCTGCCATCACGTGCGCATATTCAGGTTGATTGTGTAGGCCGACTTCGCTGCGTTGCCAGCGAGACACACAGAGATAACCATCGATCGCTCCGACGCCTACGGTTGGCCATGACCTTCAGCACTCAGCGCGATTAGCTGACAGCTAGCGAACGCTGAAAACACGTTATGGCTGTCTGTACTCATCTCGCTCGATGATCAAAACAGCCTCATGTCGGTGCGTTTTTAGAGCTTAGGCTTTTTCTCAGCTGAGCCCTGCACTAAATCACTCGGCTGCTGCTTATTCCATACGTCCTCGCCACTAAGATGAGAGAGAAATTCATGTCACTGCACGCGCAGTAGCATGTTGCGAATTTCGCTAAACATTGGATGGCTATTGGATGTTGGGGACAACAACCGTAAATGACCGGCGTTCACCATAAGCGAGCCATGGCAGGTAAATGAACACGCTCATCGACCTTCTTCCGCCAGATTAACCGTATGTAGTATTATTACCGCGCACTTAATTACTCGCTACAATGCATTCTTGACCACTTTTACTAAATCCACTGACGCAGACATTGTTCTCACGTTTTTGGTGCAATCCCTTTACCCTGAGCTTCAGTGTGTATGTTCTTCAGTGTGGGGACCCATGTGCGTTCCAGTGTGACAACAAGTGCCGATTAGCCAAACAATCGCCGTGAGTGATGTCGCCTGTGTTACAACCGTCCATCCGTAGTACGGCATTTGTTAACTTGCAACCAGCCCTGCGATTATCGTGTATTTGCTCTGCACCTGATCACATTGCGCCGTTTCCGATGGCCACCGCTTCCGGTGTGTGAATATCAATATTCCGCTACAAACACTCAATATATTGTAATAGAAAAGGCGATGTACGATTCCGCACGCTCTCGTGGTTTGCACCAAGCTTGGTCTTGATAACGACGCGCGTACACATCTCTCCTACCTGGTTGTTGTACGTGTGTGTGTGTGTACTTTGGCATGCCATCTGGTGTTTGTTGGCACTACTGTATTCTTATAATGCAAGACTTGTGTATTCGCTTTTGTGAATAAAACTTGTTTGTTGAGCCAGTCGCCCACTCCTAACATTTGCATAGCTTGTTACAGTAACTTTCAGTGGGATAGTCTTCCGACTTGAGATCTTTCCACTTTGTTTACCTTTGGATCAGGTCGAAACGATCCAGCTTGAGGACCGGCATAACAAAAACGGAATCGCAGTTGCGAAAGCTAGTTTACGAGAAGAAGCTGGAAGTATTGGAGTTGAAGAAGCGTTGCTGGACTGTGCAACTGCGGATGCTGTTTCGACCTCACTCACCACTAAAGGTGGAGTGTAACAATTGAGCATAGGCTATTTTTGTGATATTGTCTACTTTTTTCCTTCCGGTCACTCCTTGCTGCTGTGGAGGATGTTTGTACTTTTGTAAATACATGTCTAGTGATATGATGAACAAAGCGTTTACCTGCTCAGTGACCATCACAGTTTAGTCTTATAATTCTCCTCCTTGAGTCACGTTTATTATTTCTAGATCGTGGTATCGGAGCTCTTCATTGGCTTTGCTTGTACTCTTGCTGCCAGCCATATCCTACGTGGGCAATATTTAGTACTACGAAACGGTTAGTTGTTGGTGTGTTCTTTTGTAGTCTAACGGAGTGACGCTCTTGTTGCATGTGTCTTACAGAGAGAATGACTTGCTACTTCGTGAGTTGTGATATGGCACGTTATAATGGAGTTCATGCAGATATGACTGAGTCCGGAGTTGTTGATTATCAGCTGTTGCTTGGCTGTGGATTGAACTGTCATCGCACCGCGCTCAGCGGAGTGCAAGAACTGGATTGCTCAGAAAATGCCAATAGGATATTTTCTCCTCTGCGACAATGTCATCACGCTCGTGGATTGTCACTCCTCCATCTCACTACCAAAACGAACCTTGTCCCACGGAGAACTTCGACTATTTTGCTGTTCCGCTGTCTAACTGTTAACAGAACTGAATATTGGTTGTTACCATTGGTAAACCACTGGACACCCTTGGTAAGCGAATATTGAGGTGTTGTAATGGGGCTTGAGGCCACAGGAGTACAGTCCAGAGAACACTAGTTCATCGGAGTATGGATGCTATGTAGGCGAAGGGTTAACCGGAATAGGAGTTTTTGGCGTCTGGCACGTGTAAGGTCACCACAATTAGGAACACATTAGGAGTGCACAAGGAAAGGTTGGCAGTAGTTGTGGACGAAGATGGCTTTGAGACGGTTGATGAGCACCGTTGTTCAGTGATTGCTTTGGTCTTATTGGTCCGGCGACTCTAACTGGATAGGTTTCGTTAGCGGATGGAAGGGAAAAATGCCGGACAGCGTCTGTGACTGCCACTGGGATTAGCTAAATCAGAAACACGCTGACCCGAATAAACAAGCGTACCAAAAGGTTATGTACGTTCGAAGTCTTCTAAGCAGAATAACCGCCGAATTCTGCAATTCCTGACGAGTGAAAGAGACTTTCATGTCATCATCCAATACATTCTGGTCAATTCGCTCCAATGTTTGAGAGCAGCAAACGTGGCGAACTGGAACTTAAGGCTTTTGAGACGAGGCCTTTTACGTTTGAGCGACGTCTAGTACCCATTCCATCACAGTGAGACTAGACTTTTGCCTGGTGCGACGGTTTATGTACCTTGTTGACCCATTGAACTATACCGGGTGGTGGTGCCTCCTGGTGCCTTGAGAGCTACTTCTACCAGGTTGGTCAGTGGTTAGAGGTTAAACAACCGCAGTCTTCTGGTCCTCCAGGTTGAAGTGGCATCCATTTCTGTAAACCTGAATCATTGCTACTTCTCCACTGCCTTGCTTACAGGCTTTTGAACCAATGGCTTTGGTTGAGGACCATAATCGTCCTCCTGTCTAGGCCTGGGCGCCCTTGCAGTATCTAGCCTACTTACCATGACAATTGCCACAACCTCTGACATTTTCTTCAAACATAAACTTTATCGTGCATCAGCCGTCGCGCATGTTATCAAAAGTCGACTTATCTGCTGCATACAGCAGGGCGGATAAGCGAAAAAATGCTGCTGCTGGTGCATTCCTTTTTCTTATTCATCTGTTTTTCTTATTCCCCTCCCAACTACGATTGTTAACCATCCTTCCATAATTGCTAGCTTAGTTTACAGCAGCCGTGATATCACTGGAGTCACACTATCTGAAACTACCTTCCCGCAACATCCACTGGACGCCTATCGGCAACCGTCTCATCTAGAGAAACCCTTACCCCTTTTCCTGGCGTCGTTTAACTTTCGCACTCTAAGACTAATAAGTTAACAGGCTGCACTCGCACCCATGTTGGCACACTGGGCCTTGGCATGCGTTGTGTGTCCGAAGCTAGGATCAATGACCCTTACGAGTCGTTAAATTAACTACACCCGGTTTGTGCTCTCGCTATTAGTTGCACGTATCCGGAAAAACTGTTGTGACAATCACTGGTCAAGCTGGAGTAGCCATCATTCTCATCTCCAAGACTGTCCTCGTTGGTTGATTGACTTCCCTTGAACGGCCGTTTGTGTGCAGCCTGTTTGACGACATCGACTAACGTTGACTCCCGAAGTAGTGCTGGAGCTTTTTGTGTAGAATCGTCGCAGTTAGATCCAGGCAGACAACCATCACGCATCCAGGAAAGCGCTAGACGGCCGTTTCGTCCTATTGGGACTCGTCAGTAGCGCGCACCTGCCGGATCCCCCCGGATTCGAACCCACGACCTTACACTTGCCAACCAGCGACCTATGTCACTGAGCCATTGGCGCCGGCAGCGGGCCACCATGTCTGATAGCTAACTGCGATATAGCGCGGGTCATCCTCCACTGTCTTGCATGTTATGGATGTGCAGAGGACAGGGCTGGCCCCCAGAGCAACGACTTCCTTTGCCAGCCACCACCAATCGAGGTGGCATGCAAGCTGTTAAGGCGACTACTGATTATTCGTAAGTAGTAGGAGGTTTATTGAGCCGCGCTATATTTCAGTTAGATATCAGTCATGGCGGTCCGCTGCCGTCACCCATGGAACAGTGCCATAGGTCGCTGACTCGCAAGAGTGAGGTCGCGGGTTCGAATCCGGCGGAATTCAGCGGGTGCGCGCTACTGACGTGTCCCAATAGGACGAAGCGGGCGTCTAGCGCTTTCCTGGATGTGTGCTGGCTGTCTGCCTGGATCTATCCGCGACGAATCTACACAAAAACCCAATGCTTCTACTAATTACACATAATGAGTACTAGAGCTGTTGTTTGCGGTTTCCGCTTATGCCTCCACCGACTGCAACGGGTCACCACCATCTTTCATCAAAGATGGGGGAGATCGTCTGGTCTAGGAGCACCTTTTCGTTTCAACTCGGAAAGCTCTTGTCAGCTCTCTCCTAAACTGTGAGATGTGACCATACTTCCCACATCGCCTCAGACGATCCAGAAAGCGGCAGTGTCACAGCAGGCCTGCTGAATCGCTCCTCATAATGTTCCGCCCAACTGGCTAATCAACGACGCTGAGAATGGATCAGATGTCTATCTTTCTCACCTATTATCTAGCTGACGGATAGCTTTCTTGGACCTGTTTTCCGAATGAACTTTAACAGCACTCGGCTATTCTCAATAGCACTGGCTTTCTCTATCTTACGAGGATTTGCAAAACACCAACCTTCCCGGTCAAATCCAATACTACTTGTCAGACGTCATTTCAGGAAAATACGGATACGCTGAAATTCAGTGCCCATTGGAACCCGAATCCGCGCCTCAATCAAACTGATCGATGCCTCAGCGATCGATTCAAAGTTGAGACGTCTCAAGTTGGATGCACAGTAAGTGTCAAAGGCATTCTTCATGACGCATTTGAGACGACTTCGGTCAGTGTTGGGTTCACCAACCTTCTTCCTCGCTGACAGTTGGTGAGCCACTTCGTCATGATATTGCTGAATTAAAGATCGCGTGTATGAGTTACATGTATGAAGGTTAGAAGATGCAAATAAATAAATAAATTGTATATTCTTTGATAACACGAGAAACTGTTCCCTAAAAGGAAATGATCAAATAATGGTACAATCTTTCCATGACATTGCATTAATACATTTTCAGAAATAAACATGGGCGCAATTTCCAATTAGCCAACAAAGTAATCAGAATCGTTCTGCCATTTTTTCTGTCATTGAACAGGATTCTTCACAATCACATGACAGATGTTTGGACCAAGAAAAATTGAAAGGAAAGGGGCTGTTGTCCGACATGTTATGTGTATGTGTTTCGGAAATTTATTCAGACACCATCGATGCCGTTTTCGAAAGCGTTATCTAGGTACTGTGATGTCCGCAACATATGAATCATGTTTCGGACGGTAAACTGCTTACTAATCGCAAGCTTAAAATTGCAAAGTATATAGCATCTTTTGATATCACTTGGGTTAGAAAGAAACGTTCTCTGATTCTCGTAGTAAATGTTGGAATCATGACCTTAATCTCATTGTTGCGAATTGGATGTTTGCTGTTTAAAGAGATGCGAACGCCGTTATCAAGCCTGTAGACATGACGGTTCATGATCCTGTGAAGAAAACGTCGGTTCAGCTTTGTCTGTTAGGTGTGCATCTACTTCGAAGCGTCCCCCCAGGGGCTGTTCAAAGTCTTAAAGACGATCTACTTGGACATTCAAGTCACCAGCAAAAATCGCCATGCGAAGAAATGAGAGCTGTCCATAGAAATCGTGTTACATACCATCCGAAATGCATTCAGTAGAAGCGTAAACGGAAGCGATGAAAAAGCACATTGACTGCAGACGATGCTTTTCAACTGCAATAGTATTTCCCAATCGAACCGTCCACATCTGACTGTTCACCGGTATTCAGTCGAGTAGATTACCTTCAGCAAATATCTTGAGCCATTGATTCTGTATCACCAGAGAGACAAAGAGTATAGTCATTGTCATCAGATTCAAAGCCAGAAAGTCGAAGATTAGTCACGATGCTGTTATCTTGTATGCGTGTTTCGGAGGCAGCACACCTAAATACCAATGGAGTGACGAGTAAGTGTCGTTGCTGCCTGTTGACCGATCATACCCAGAGTGCGGATGTTAAATGAACCAATGTGAAATGACTCTCGTTGTTTGATGGGCGAGTTACGAGATGGTTGGCGTCAACGCCGTCAGATTCTTACTGAGTAGATGGGAAGGGGAGAGGAGAGCAAAATAAGAAGAAGGGGGAGGGAGTATTGTCGACGTAGTCGATAGGGCAGATGACACTCTCCGGCTGCCCACTCTAAAAGAATTGTTTCGCTTGAGGTGCCCAACCTCTATCCTTTGACTCATCATTCTGGCCCACAAGGCAGTGGAGGATTTGGAGGTTTGCTTGAGAGATTCCACCCGGAGCTCTTATAACAGCCTGATCCACAAGGCAGTGGGGAGCAAGTCCTGCTCGGGACTGTGATCGCAGAGACCCATTGGGATTCGCTCTGGGGCTGTCACACACAGTCTTTGAAAATTTGCAACAATTCACGTGTTTTACTACCATACTACGATACACACCTGCGACCACGGCCAGCCTCAGGTTGGAGTTGGCGGGTTTGCACCAATTTGACCAAGGGCCGCCTGGCTTGAGACGGGCGGTACAGGACCATTGAGTACCGGAAGGTGCGCTCCCACCGTCAGAGAGAAAGCGTGGCGCCCATACTCTACGCCAATCGAACTGTGAGCTTCTAACCGCTAGACCTGTTGTCTCCCATGGCTAGGTTTTAAAGGAAGAGCACCATTAACCTCTCCCTAACCTCTGAAGAGGATTGGATTGTGAGACTGAGTTAGTCTGACCCCTAACTATTGACCTGTCTGGTATGAGTGGCTCTGAAGGCGCTTAGAAAGTGCCACCAGCATAGCTCAATGGGTCACTGGGGTACGCAAACCATCGCACCACGCTAAGGTGTAATCTCGCTGTGTACCAAACTTTTGCTCCCTCGTCCTATTGACGCTGAACTTTAGTGGAATAGAATCTCGCCGCTAGGCACGACGCAGGAGCATCTGCTTGTGGTACTATCCCTCGTCACCGCACCAGTAA